CCCCCCCTCCAAACGTCAGATGCTTTGCTACGTCCCTGATGGTTGTATTCGAAACCGATTTCAGTTTTAAGATATCCTTAGTCTGCTCTTCTAAATGGATACATGAAATCACCTATAGCTCATTTAAAAGTTTTTGGTACCAGGTTTGTGAAGTAATTTCCAAAAAGTAGCAGTTCCAAAAACAAAAAAGCATGCGATTTGTAAGAATGATATGTTCTGTGTTTATGGGATATTTAGTACAAACGGGATGAAAATTAAAGAAATTGAAGCATACTGGCACTTTTACATGCATTTTGACAGGCATGCAAAGACATTTCCAACAGATGCCAGAATACGTTTGGTGGGGGGGCGACATTCTCTAAGGTTCCAGCACATTACCCTGATCCAGGAAATCCTGGCCATTACATGAACGTGTTCAAGACTCCGACTACGCTAAATGACGGACAACAAGAACCTGTTAATAATTTTGGCCCTAGAGCCAATCTAAAATGTTTTTTTTTAAAGACGGTGCCATTTCATCGGGCGCTAGTGAGGTGAAAAAAACAGCAGGTCGGTATTTTTGTTCAGAAGCACATGCTTGAGTATATCATACATCTTGAGGAACTGCAAATTGTATCTATGATAAGAGAGAATTTCGGATTACACCCCTTCGATTTCGAATTCTGGGGGGGCATTGAAAATTTCAAAAACGTGGAGGAGGGCATCGAAAATTTATCAATAAGCTCAACAGGGGCCCTGTAAAAATATGAGCTTTTTTCAAGACATCTTCATCCCCTCCCCCTCGGTATAATAAATGTACTTTTCCTTATAGAATAAAATATAAATACGAAAATATTGCGAAATATGTTTAATACGCTTTGAGTAAACGTTCATATATAAAAGCATAGTTAATAGAGGATAAAAACTATACCTCATGTTTGGTCTTAATTAAGGAAAGGAAATCTTGCCTTATTCGATCATCAGAAACATTAGAGATATATTTTGGAGATTTCTAGTATATAAATTGTGTTTATTTTTAACATGCAATCAATCGAATTGATCAAACTTTTTAGTACCACATACAAACTTTCACATTCGTCAACTGTATGTAAATATAATTATGTAAGATATAAGCCCTTCACTCAATAAAAACTGACCAAGTTTATAATATAACAGGACAGTTTGAACCTTTTGACTATATAGTCCCAATATAGTCATACATTTTAGGCATGTATATGAGCGTGCTCATGAGGATACTGGTTTTAGGTATGTATATGAGCATGCTCATGAGTATACTGGTTTTGGGTATATATGTATATGAGCGTGCTCATGAGCATACTGGTTTTATGTATGTATATGAGCATGCTCATGAGGATACTGGTTTTATGTATGTATATGAGCGTGCTCATGAGGATACTGGTTTTAGGTATGTATATGAGCATGCTCATGAGCATACTGGTTTTAGGTATGTATATGAACACTGTGGGAAAACGTCTGCGCATGCGTCAACATTACTGAAATCTGTATTGCGAACGTGATGTCAAATGTTCCGAAGGTTGTCAAAAACTCAAAATGGAGCAACTTCGATGTTTTGCCTTCGCTATGAAAATGCAAGCGGAATAATGTACGTGACAACCTAAAACCTGAAATAATTCTAGTCTACATGTGCAAGAAGTAGTATTATGCAAGAAAATGAACCAAAGGTGACTGTCGATAAATTTATTGTATTAAAAGTTATTTTACTGAACCGTACAAAGATATTTTTCATAGGTTCATATGATCCACATTTTTGTCAATAACTTTTTTTGTGGAGCATGTATAATTTTTTCGTTGACTATATTTAAAGAGTGAGTATCAGGCCCGTGATGCATTGCGTGCTTATGTTTATTTACATGCTTGCGGAAGCACTTTACATTTCGTGCGATATCATATGAAATATAGCAGTTGTTCACATTGTTGTGCGAAATAAAGCGATTCTAGTACGATGTCTGAATCAGAATCGGACCCAGATTTAACTTTGGAGCGTTACGATTTAGAGGACGATCTAAATATGTACGGGTCGCCAGTTTGTATATCGCCAAGGGAAGAACTAACCGGCGTCGAAGCCGCAGCGGTTGAACCCTTGAATGAACCAACTTTGGCCGCCGACGATGATAGAACACAGGTTAGTTTACCTTTTTTTTCACCAGTTGTTTCAGTAACAAATAACTGTATACTTGCAGACTTGTATTTACGCAACAAATTCCTGTTAATTTCAGCGCTGTAGCTGCAAAAACACGTGCAGCAAGCGAAGCGGCAGAAAGAAGCGAGGTTGTCCTTGCCGGGATGAAGGTGTCAAATGCACAGAAAGATGTTCATGTGGAACTAAAACGGCTAATTGCAAAAACAAGACACAGGAACAGGGAACATTTGCCTCGGCAAGTGCAGGAAAAAACGCATTTGAACGTCACGAGATCGCAGTCAACGAAGCAAAAGAACAGATTACGGTGAGCACGTGCATTTTTTATCTCAGAGTTACAATATTGTAAGATTTCTCACAAGCATAAAGTGTCCGAATACTTTATATGAATTTTTTACGGCAATCGAACCCGCAACGTTGTGAAGCCACAGTAGATATGCATGTATGATACAGCAATCTATTTTACTTATACCTTTTGTAGCCTCAAAAATGTTGCAGTTGCACGTTTTGTACTGGAAGAAACACATTTTCAACCGATAATTTTCCTGTTATAAGCGCTGGTTGCCTGGTTTTATATCATTACAGATTGCCTTTGTTCTCGCATTATGTATGTTCAAATATGATCTGCATACTGATTACGTTTATACCTTTGAACCTGGGATATAGTTTAATATTTAGGAATAGAATATTTCAGTAAGGAATATATCAGGTTATTTGATTATGAAACCTAGTATAGAATAACTTCTATCCATTTAATTTTAATATGCAAAAGTGCGTAACCATGCAAATATAAATTGTTTTTGTATTTCCAGGAATTCATCACAACATTGACTGTTGATCAAAAGGACAAAGTACTACTGGAACTTTTGACCAATGGAAAGGGTAGTCTAGATTACGCCAAAAATATAGTGGAATTCGGCGGCATCCCCCCTGAAATCCCAGATATAAGGCCACCCTGGTGCAAATGTGGGGTATGCCGGCCTATGCCCACTGATGAAGAAAACAAGTGTTGTGGTAAAATCAGGTGTCTAACATCATATGTAACATTCAGAAACACATGTACAGACAGAGAGGTTTTAGTCATGGCCATCAGATCAAGGTGTGACATTAGGGCTGAAGAACCAGATTACTCAACAAACCGCTACAGAAAGGCTGCATATCGCCAGTACATTCTCTGGCGATACAAAAAGCTGGGAAAGGGTAATAGAAAGGTGTGTCCATCATGTGTAGTCTTGGCAATCAGGCTCATATATCCTGCAAATGATGGGGTATACATGGGCTTCAAGAGAGCTTGACATTTTGTTTTTAATAAATAATCACTGAACAATCACTATGTACATATGTTCCATTCAAAAATATATATAATTTGGTTTGTTAATTAAACACTACTGAGTGAAATGTCTTCTCCATACTTCTAACATGTTCTTATGATGTTGACGGACCTTCACCCATTATAGCATCTTTATTGGTCTGCTCTGTCACAAACCTTGATTGTGCCCTCTGGACAAGATCGCTTGTTTTAGGAATTGGTTTGAGGGCAATGGATGGGGCAATATTCTTTGGATGATCTTCTGGAACAGGAACTGCCCTCAGAATACTTATCTGGTCCTTGATTTTCTTCTGCAGAATTCTGGTCGCAAGTGTGGGCCAAAAATCGTAGCTCTTTGGTTCTTTTACTTCATCCACTCTCCAGTTTTTCGATCGTTTACTGTACACCTTATTGTACTTTGGTTGGCCACTTTTGGTTACAGCTGCTTTTCGAAACATATGTGCATTGTGGTCAATTGCTGCAAGGTACGTCCTCCCTATAAATGCATCATTCCTATAAAGTCAAAAAAATAGACAAATTATGACTACACATTATACATTATCAGTCCCAGTGACCAAGATATGACAAATCTCACTCACTTACCAGCTTATCGCAAAGTCTCTATTAACCCAACCCCCCCACCCCCCGCATTCACAAAAAAACACACACTTAATGACACAAAACGCATGTTTTGATTAGCTTTACTGTCGATGCAATGGAAGTGTTGATAAAATATCGCATCAATTCATTACTTAGAGCTGATCAATTAGTTGAAAAATCGATCAACTTCCTGTGTGTTTGAATCAACCAATGGCTTTGCGTTTCAGTGACTGGGGAACAAGCATGCCAGTAAACAGGAAGTTGAGCAATTTTTGACCAAATGAATCGATCAATGTTAGGTAATGAAATTTATCAGAACACTTCTATTGCAATGACAGTAAGGAGTTTCTTGACACCACTTTTTATAAATTAAATTATCAAACAATTTTACAGATAAATAAATATGCCAACCCCCCCCCCCCCCCCCCC